TGGAGTTTTCTTTCTTACCAACCTCATGGTTCTTGAAGGGTACTTGATTGTGTTTTAATTTTCATTTGTCTGAGGACCGTGTTCAGTGTCTCTGTGGCTTCTCTTTTGAGAAGTTCCCAGATAGGATTTTACCCACTTTTCTATTGTGTGTTTATCGCTTTCTTGCTGATTTGATACTAATGTACAATCATATCTCATAGGCCACTACATATCACTCACTAGCCGTATGTCTTTATTTCCTCGTTGGCAGCTTCTGTGGTTCATTTTTATGGTAGTATTTGATAACCAAGGATCTCAGGCATAACTCCTGGGGATCCGTTAACAGTTGTCCTCATAGTTAGGGCTTTTCTGTCCAGATAGCTGTCTCTACCCTGTGGTCACAAACACACCCCTTTCTCCTGACTATTAAAGATCACACTTTTCATGTTCCCCACTCATGTGTGCTCCATCTGGAATTGATGATCTACTGGTTCGATTTCACTCTTGATATGGTGCATTGCTTACCTCATCGTGGTGACCAGACAACCAGCAAAAAGGCAGCCTGAAGGAGGAAGCACTTATTTTGACTCCATTTCTCTCACTACCCTGGTTTCCAGGCTGAGCTCCCAGCCCCTCGTGTCCTCCAGTCAACACTGTTGGTACCCCGTCCCCTACCCAGTTTACATACGAAAACAATGTCCTAAGAGCTTCCCTCCAGTGGGGTCCTCAGTTACACCCCTGGGAGTCCAGCCACCCTCCTGGGGTGGTTTCTAGGGAGAAAGGTGGGCTGGTGTCCTAGCAACAACCAGGGACTAACTTCAGAATTGCAGCTCTCTCCTGTGGGTCAGAAAGGCCTTTCTGGTTAGCTGCAGAGTCCTTGGGATGTAAACACAGGCGACCTGATTATGCCCTCCACTTCCTCCTGAGTCAGAACCATCCGAGGTTAACTCAGGGAAGGGGCTAAATTAAGCCTTGAAACCAAGCAGCCTCGATGACAGGCACTTTGTTGTGCTTGAGTGACTGTGATGATGGGTCTCTGGTTAGAAGGATAGCACTAATCTCATCTCCCGAGAGCAGCCGTGGCCGTCCAGCTCCTGCCCTGTAGAGACAGGAGATGCCAGGTCCCTCACAGGACCTGCTCGTTCACTCAGCATGGATCACCTGGGCACTGTGCTCTGAAGTAGAGGCTCAGGTGCTCCTGTCCCAGAATCCTCAGCATCTAGAAGAAAGCAGATAAGTATCAACAGACCCCAGCACAGAAGGGACCAGTGTGTGGAGACCCTTCCAGCCAGAGCAGAATGAGGAGTGGGTTTCTACAGAGCTTGTATCTTCTTAAGGCTTATGTAATGTCTGGACCACAGAGTGGCCAAAATCAAGGGGAAGGGAGTCAGTCCTCACTGGCCAACAAGCAAACAGATGTCACTGCATTGAAAATCTGCTTGACAATATTACCAAAGCCACACACATGCACACCCCATGCCTGTTTTTCTGCTGAGTATATGTAGCTATGAAGAAATGACATACATGTAAATTTTACATTAGAAAACAATGTGAGTGGCTACAGGACTAGAATTAAAACATGCTTGCTGCAGTGTTTAAAGGGAGGGTCGTCAGATCTGCTTCACCCTGAAATGTTCCGAAACAGAAGGTGAGTAGACGAGGTGGATGGATGTGTGTTGAAGCAAGCGCATGCCAACACACAGGCATGGTGGAGCAGGTGTGTGGATGCTCACCGTAAGAGTCCTTCAGCTTTGCTAAATGTGGACCATTCTCCTATGCAATGTGCATGTATGGCACCAGGCGATGATTACGACAAGAACGTTCACAGTGGTGCTACCCACGACAGTCCCAAACAACAACTCCCCTCAGGTTCCGTTAATAGTAGACTAGATCCACCCGTCTCCGGTGTGTAGATCCAAGAGACCGCTGTTCCTAAGAGAGCCTAGAGGAGCTAGGCTACCACCGAGCCATGTGGGTGAGCCTTACAAAGCAATGTGGGGGGAAGAAACCAGAGTCCTCAAAGAGAATGCTGTGTGAGTCTGTGTGTAAAAAATTCAAAACCAAGCAAAGCTGCCTGTGGTGTTAGGAGTCATTTGAGAGTTGTCAAAAGGAGGGAGTAAGGGACAGTGACTTAGTGGGTCACCAAGGCAGGCCCCCAGGGGTGCAGAAGGCTGGCTTTTATTTTTTATCTTAGCACTAAAGAGTGCATCAAGCTATACACTGAAGAATGTGTCCCTTTATACAGCATTGGAAATGGAAGGAAGGAAGACCAAACAGCTTTTCCTAACTGCTCTGGGGCATCAGAACCCACACAAAGCCCATCCAGCGATCTACAGCTGTGAAGGGAACAGAATGCGTTCCTTCAGAATACATCTGTTCATTCACTTACGCACTCTGCAGCGTCGGTCTCTCCGGTGGTCACTGATGGGCTCTGTCCTTCACATGGACAGGATGCTCTACTCAGTATAACAAGTGGCTCTCTGAGGTTTTCCAGGAGTGCACATGCACCATAGAAGGAGTAAGAAGACATTCATGGCTGATCCTCACTCCTAACACCTGGATTTCCAATGATGATCCTCTTGGGATGGACTCCCTGAGACATCATTTGACTTGTGCATTAGGAGTCTCCAGAGAAACAAAACCAATGATGTGTGAGGAAGCATGTTTGGGTGGGCATGTGTGGTGTGTGTGTGGGGGTGGTGTACACGTGTGTGTGGGGGGGGTCTTATGGGTGTATGTGTATCTCTATACACACATCAACATACGTGTTTCTATTTACACATATTGTCCTAGTTAGATCTCTAGCGTGATAAATACATGAACTCAAAGCACCTTGAGGAGTAAAAGGTCTATTTCATCTTTCAGCCTGCAGTCCACCATCACAGAAAGTCAGGGTAGGAACCCAGAGGCTGGGATTGAAGCAGAGGCCGTGGAGGGACACTGCTCACTGCCTTGTTCTCCACGGCTTGCTTATACAACTCAGTATCAACTGCCCAGGAGTGGTACCACCCCTGATGAGGTGGGCCCTCCCACATCAATCATTAATCAAGAAAAATGTTCTATAGACTTGCCTACAGACCATTTGCAATCTTTTCTCCGTTGAGCTTTCTCTTCCCAGATAGATCTGTGCTTGTGACAAGTCGACAAAATCCAACCAGCATACACAGAAGTATTATCACCCATGCTAGCCCCTAAATGTCAGAAAGCTTTTAGCTGGAAAGATGCAGCTTCCTCATGGAGGAAGTCTAGTCTGGTCTGTGCCCGGATCCCATCCCCTCAAAAGCCCCATGTGTCAGCGTATTTTAAATATAATTGGGGTAGAAATAGACAAGGAAGGTTTCAACTGCTGACCTCTACATGACTGTGCTAAGTACCCTAATACATGAACGTTAGTCTTGCCTATTAAAAATATACAAGGCATGCAAAAGAATAGCATAAACACACACCTGTCCTTCACAATGACAGCAGGGAACACCCCAGAATCCATTGCCCAGTGATGGTCACTGTGCCCTCAGGGAATTCCTTAATGCTTTGGCTTGAGGAAGACACTCTCCTGAATTTCTTGTCTGTCATTCTTTGTTACAGAACTCAAAATGCACTTTGGCCAGAGTATACTGTCTGGAGCCTTCAAAGATAGTCAGGCTGCACGCATTCTGCTGTGACATGATCTTTCCCTCCAGTGTCTGGGCTTGGTCCATGCTGTCACGGACAGCTGCAGCTCAGCCATCTCATTGTCATGGAATATTCCAGTTGTGTGGTTCTGTTACCACATGGTCACTGACGCACACCTGGGCGGCCTCCAGCCCTTTGCTGGGACAGCTGCTGCTGCAGCTGGGTGAGTGGCCTCTCAGTCTCCAAGTACACAAAGCAGCTCGCTCTCTCTCGCTTGTTCTCTCTCTCCCTCCCTCTCTCTCTCTCCCTCCCTCTCCCTCCCTCTCTCTCTCACTCACTCACTCCCCTCCCTCCATGCACAGCTGTGAGAGCAGGTGCCCAGCTACAGATTGTGTCTCTTTGCTTTCCTAACTAGTGCCAAATGGCGTTCCAGAACAGTTGTGCCAACATGTATTCGCGCCAGAGACCATGAGAGGCTCTTGCAGGGCCACCTCCTTCACTCCTTGCAGGGAGTGCTCACAGCCTCTCTGGGTACAGAATCACCTCCTCTCAGACCTGCCTACTCCTGTCCCTATCTCAGCCAGAGCTTTAGAGCATGTGTGACCATGATGCCCCATGCCCTCCCAAACACAGAGGAGGACTCATCTCCTGGCCTTGACCCAGCACGTAAACGTATATGACCTCCCCGCTAGTTTTAGTATGATTGCAACAGCTGTCTGTTTCTGCTTCATGGGAAAGGGGAGAGAAAGGTACACAGAGTGGGTGGCCCGAGGGCTGGACTTCAGGGTGCATGTCTTGATGTTATTAATATCTCATCCTTGAAATTCAAAACTTACGTTCTGACATTTGTGTGTGTGTGTGTGTGTGTGTGTGTGTGTGTGTGTGTGTGTGTGTTTGTCTGTTGGTGGACATGTTTGTGCGCATATGCATGTGTGTGTACAAATGTGGAGGCCAGAGATCAACCTCAGGCTCTCGTCCCTAGGGAAGTTGTCCACCTTCTTGGAGACTGTATCTCTTATTTTCCTGAAGCTAACCAATTAGACTGGACTGGCTGGCCAGTGAGCTCCAGGGATCCCCCTGGGTCTACCTCCCCAACACTGGGACTCCAAGTACGCATGCTTTGTTTGTGGGCACTGGGGATCTAATTCAGGTCCTTGTACTTGCAAGGCAAGCGCTTGAATGGCTGAACGATCAGCACTTGACTGGCTGAACGATCTGCCCAGCCCCCAGGTTCTACCATCTCTCAAGGACCAAGAGAGATGATCCCAAGATTGTGTCCGATGCGCTGGATGTCACTCCAACCCATGATCTAGTCCTCAAGCCTGTAGTCACCCCACCCTTCCACCTGACCTCAGCGAGGATGCTGGGAGATGACCGTGGTTTTGTTGTTCTGTTTCTCTTCGTTACAGGTTAGCCTGGCGAGGAAGATAAAGACATTTGCAACCAAGATGGTAATCACGAGTGGAAATGATGAAGACCGGGGAGGCCAAGAGAAGGAGAGCAAAGAAGAGAGCGTGCTGGCCATGCTGGGCATCATTGGGACCATCCTGAACCTGATCGTCATCATCTTCGTATACATATATACCACCCTGTGAATGGCCCCACGCAGCCTCGGCGGCCTCAAGATGGCCACGAGACACAGGTCCTGTGTGTCCACATATCGGTGACCGGACACAGCAGGGGGCCAGTGGGTTTGAAGACCACACACTGCTTCATCAATGCACCTTCGAACTTTCTAGTAGGTCACCAAATGAACCCATCCTGCTGTGAGGAGCAGACACTCTGAAGCACAATGAATCCAACAAAACTCATTCAGGCCACGAGGAACTCAGCGTCTCTGACTGGGCGCCTGACGGGATGCTGGAAAGACCAGCCTTCGGCACTAGTGGTGAGCAAACGAGTGAGGAAATGCCTCATCCTGGAGTGCTGACCACATCCCGTAATGGAAAGGAGGATGAGCCGAGCAGATGCAGCTCAGCTGCCCACCTCCTGGGACCAGCTCTAGGGGTGGTCCGCTCACAGGCATCCCATTCATCAGATGTTTCCAGCTGTTTGATACGGGAGATAACTTATTTTTCATTTTTCATTGGCTTGATGTGTGTATCTGTTCATATCAAGGTATATAAATATATATTTTTAATAAATGTGCTCTATTTTTTAGCATGAACCAAATATTTGGAGAAGCGCTTCTGGATCCATAGCCTTTCTTGGTTTTAATCGCTTTGCTCCATCAACCACAGGACATCTTTTTCTGTAGCTTTCCAGTTGTCTCAGCTCATCTCAACTCTTTTGCCTTCATGCTCTTCTCTCTCCCCATCTCTGCCCCTCCGTTTTCTCCTCTCATTCCTCTTCCCCTCTCTTCTCCCCTTCTCTCCCCTCTCTTGTCTTCCCTCCCATTCTCCTCTCCTCCTCTCCACTCCTCTCCACTTCTCTCCCATTCTCTCCTCATCTCTTGTCTAGAGGACATTTTTCTGTAATACCAGCCATGGTCTTGGCTGGTGCATGTTTCAAGATTGTCGAGCGGCTTTTCGTTGTTCTGTCAGAGATCTAAAATGATTGTGGGCATGCAGACCTTAGATGCACCCTGTCTTTCGTGAGAATTATGCATGAACAAGGGCTGAGTGACAGATCAGCTTTCCACATATTTTGAAAGGACTACCACTAAGGAAGATGAGCGTGGCCCTGCCTGCAGGTCACCCGTGGGATGGAGCAGTCAGTAGCTCACTGGCAGTGGTGCTCATTCACTCCTGTAACCATTCTTTTATCAGATTTTGATTTTTTTGTGACTGTGAGAGATGGGAATGTGTTAAGCTCAATGTGTGCCATCCCTTCTTTGGTGAGATGCCTAGGGGGTGGTCTCTTCAGAAGTCGGTGGGATGTGAATGATGGGAAACCTCCCCACTGTAAGCACGCATTCACAGTCAGTTCCTGCTGTAAAGATGCCTCTGTGACAAGTGACCCTTCAAGGGCATTCGCAGGGGACTTAACGATCTCTGTAAAGGACCCCTTGCACATTTTAAAGCTGGTTTCCACCCACATGAAGCTGTTTTCTCTCTGAGGGGGCGGTTGAATAAATACAAATTTGCCCTGCTCCCTGGCTCCCTAACATAGCCCCCAGCCTGGCTGCCATGGACGGCCTTAAGGAGAGGGTCAGTGTTCATTCCACCCCTGGCAGAAACAGCAACAGCCTGCCCCAGTGGATTCTGATGATACACACCGAGGGGGTCTCTGCCTAACCCCCTTCCTTAAATGACACCAAGAAGGAGTCATTTCTAGGGCTCCACTAAGGGACCAGTTTCTCTTATAAATCAAATACCCGTGAGCACCTGGCTCTGGCCAGAGGTGTCTCCATTTCCCCACCAGAAGGAAGGACACTTTGTACACAAGCCACCGGGGCCCTCTTAGTTGCCTGAGAGAAAGAGCCTCTCACCTGTGAAGAAACAAGGACAGCTCAGACCAGGAATCTTCCCCGAGATTACCTGGCACCCAGTGGAGTCAGGTCCTAGCCCCAGCCTGTCCAGTTCCTTATCCCAGCGAGGGAAAGGCTATTGTTTTGCGGAGGGCCAGCTCTGCATACCTCCCTACCCCTCCCCCATAACAGGAAACAACCTGAGAACTTCTTGGACACTGGCAGAATAGGACACAAAGACAGCAGGGAAAGGCTAATTAGAAATGTGAGAGCCGTCTAGGGGAGAGCGCTACCTACAGGCTGTGTGATTCGGAAAAACTGTAATTCTGGACAGTGCACAATAAAGGTGCCATGGGGAAAAACACTATCGGTGTCGTCAACTTCCTTGGGAGTGTCCGTGTCCTCGTTTTATTTAATAAAGCTTGACCATGGCTGTATTTATTTTATTTAGTTTCTTGACTTTGAGGCGGAGTCTCACGTAGCACAGGCTGGTCTTGAACCTGCTGTGTAGCTGAGAATGACCTTCAGTTCCCAATCTTTGTGCCTCCGCCTCCCCGGTACTGGGATCACGGGCGTCTGCCACCATAGCCTGAAGGAATGTGATTTTGTTAAACAGAATTCTGTCTGGCTTGAACTGGGCACGCCTCAGTGACTTTTGAGGGTGTTAATTAGGAAGGTATGGAAGAGGAGGCGGGGGGAGATATCACCTTTCATAACCTCAGCACAATATCCTGTCCATTCTTCTACCTGGCTCTGATCTACAGCCTGGAAATAAAGCTGCCCTTTGCATGGCTGACACACAGTGAGGACCATTTCTGCCCTTTGTGTGACTGACACACAGTGGGGACCATTCTTCTCATAGCTCCAGCTCCTGTGTCCACGCGTGCTGTTTAGTAGAAAATAATAACACACACTGGGCAGGCTCATAGCCATCACCTGACCTGAAGTTTGGGGCTGGGATATTGGACCCAGGGGGAGCACAACCTTCTCTTCCCATTGGTTGGGTCAGTCTAGCCCAGCCTCAGCCAGCACCCACACTCTGGTTCCAGCACCTTCCACCCGCTGTGGAACACAGACAGTCTCAAAATGTGTGTGCTCTCCCGCTCTCTCTCCAATATATCCAATATACCCACCCCCAGACTTGCCTCTAAAACCCAGGACAGAGGCGTTAGACATAACCAACACTTAGGCTCAGCGTAGGGCCCCTTTTACTAGCTGCCTTCAAGCATGAGAAAGCCTGCTCACCTCCCTCTTTCACTGTTCTCCATGGAAACAATCCATTGAGCATCCAAGCACTTCCCTAACAGCTACTTTGGAAGCCCAGGCTGATGACGATACCGCCACATCCAGAGAAGAGAAAAACTGAGAGACCAAATTGCCCATTCCTATTCTGAAAGCCCTCCTTGCATACCCTATGACCCGGCCTTGCTATACCCGGGGCCTCTGCCATGGCAAGTCCTTCAGAAAGACCACCGTGTGGTTGCGAAGATCCTCCCATTGTTATATAAGGGTTCTTGCCTCTCGTGGAAAGCAGATGGAAGGAACAGATTGCTCATATTTTGCGTTCATAAACATTTGACACAAATCTACGCGTGCTTTCCCAGAAGATGGGCTGTTTTGTCCTAAGAAATAGAATCACACAGCCTCTGTAAATTTTCTCTTAAGACTGTGGAAAGGCATGCTTCTTCCCTCTGCTTCCATGAAAGGATAGAACAGAGTCAAGAAGGGATGTCTCAATGAGAAGGCCTTTTACTAAAGATGAGCGTACCTCCCAGGGACCCTGAGAGTTGGCCTCACGTCTGAATATTCATCTCTGTCATTGGTCCTGGTCCCCTGATGGCCAGCACTACTCTATGTCCTGCCTAGCAAGTTTGGGAAACAGAGGGGCAATGACAGAATTTAAATGCTGAAAATCAGTAATACTAATAATACTAATACTAATAAAAACCACCATCTAGCTGATCAGGAGTGTAGGAATCAAAGTTAGAATAAGCACAAGGTGGAGTCAGTCCTAATTCTGGAAAGATCTAAAAATTGTTCTCCATCTGTCCTTCATTTCTCTCTTTGAGAAGGGGAGATTGCCTCCTCATGGACTGTTCACGCGGACTAGTCATGAGTGAAATCTACTGAGCTATCTGTTGTCACCTAGTCCCTGTGACTTCGAATCCAGCAGTTGACTGCAGGTACCTGCCCATAGGGATGTATTCAGGAATAAACTATCGTGGGTTTGCTGATTTCTCCTGGAGCCCACAGAGAATCAACATGCCTAACTCCACAGTCGGTTTACAAGGGGATTCACACTCACAGTTCTTGGCTTCCCATCACACCACCACCATCTTTCCCTGGGAATTATCACCCCCTCCCCTTCCCATCGATGGAATTCATTATCCCGGTTACCGAGGCCCTCATCTGACCATGCCAGGCCCGTTCTGTCTTTGAGTTTTGTCTTTGGTTCTGAAGAGTTCGCTTCGGTGTTTTTAGCACTAAAGACTCCACAGCAGGACTTTGGGCTCTGAACTTCTGAGGTCGTCTCAGTATTGAAGTGTCCTATGATGTGATATTGGTTCAGCCACCCAAACTCTCAACTGTCACCTTTTTCTACAGAAAAGTTGGTGGATGTCTGAGCAGTAAATGGATATAGAGAGCCTGTCTAGTCCTCCTCACTCAGGACATTCCCTCTTTTTTCTGAATACCAAAAACATGACCAAGAAACAGAAATACAATATGTGAAGACAAATCTGAATTTAAGTTCTGGCTCTAACGTTTATTGACTATTGACCTTGGACCAAATCCTCAATGTTTCTGAACCTTCATTTCCTCAATGTTATATGAATTACATTTCAATATAAAATCATTTGGAAGCAAAGAAATGTATGCTTTAACTTGCCATTAATTAAGTGATTAAAAATTGATGATAGAGAGATGTATCAGCTCTGTTCATACTAAGGGATAATATTAGGTTCAGTTCAGATTCAATATTGTTGCAAAATCTTTTTCCTGTCGAAGCGGAACCAGGGATGGTGTCCAGGTTACCCGATTGAAAACACCTAGTGTGAAGATGATGGAGGTGGATGATGGAGGCGGATGATAGAGTGTGAAGATAATGCAGGTAGCGACATGTTGAAGCCCAAGTAGAGGGAGCTCTCCAGTAGAGACTTGGAGTTTGTGCTCTATCTTTTACTGACTAAGGAAACAAACAGAGAGAGAAATGGTTGTGGGGAAGGCAGAGGTATGAGTATCCTGACTCATATGGCTGTGTGGGAAGTGCTGGGAACCCTCTGTAGAGATGGACCCTGCTGTGCGCCTCACCCTCTTGTTCCTGGTAAACATCAGAAGCAATTCTGTGAGGTGGAAGGAGAAAACAGAGACGTGCTTCCAGAGCTCCATGGCAGGGTTCAGGGCCCCTACATTTATCTGTCTGTCTGTCTATCTATCTATCTATCTATCTATCTATCTATCTATACACACACACACACACACAAACACACACACGCGCGCACACACACGCACACACACACACACTCTATCTATCTATCTATCTATACACACACACATGCACGCACACACACGCACACACACACACACACACGCACGCACACACACACACGCACACACACACACACTATCTATCTATCTATCTATCTATCTATACACACAACACACACACACACGCACACACACGCACGCACACACACGCACGCACACGCACGCACACACGCACACACGCACGCGCACACACACCCACGCGCCCACACACACATGTGCCATGGCACCTGTGTGAAGGTCAGGGAATGACTTGTGGGGAGTCCGTTTTCACCTTCCACCTTGTGGTTTCTGGGGATCAAAGTCGGGTCATCAGACTTGGAGAGCACCATTACCTGCTGAGCTATCTCAATGTCCTTGCCTGGTCACTAGAATCACAGCACACTCTGGGTCTCTGGGTGCAGTAGAAACAACACCAACAGGGTGTAAAGGCCTCCAGATAGCAAAGTAGTTGGGAATAACTATCAGCTCATTACACAATATTACCCTGATACAAAAGTCAAATAATGATTTTTTTTTCCCAAGGGCACCAATGGCTATCCTGGGCATAGATACAAAAGTCACTTTAAAATTAGCAAACACAATCTGCAATGTAATATAGTATGACAAAATGAGGTCTCGCTCAGAAACGCAAGGCTAATTTATCAATTGAAGGGGGGCTTCTGTAGTCCACTGCATTCAGAATAAAGAAGGAGAGCGAGAAAGGGGCTGCTGTCGTCCACCGCATTCAGACTACGGAAGGAGAGCGAGAAAGGGGCTGCTGTCATCCACCGCATTCAGACTACGGAAGGAGAGCGAGGTCGACACGAGAGGTGCAGAAAAGAAGCTGAAGGAGTCTGATGTTCACTTAGGGCTTCTAAAACTCATATCAGATCTCCTCGTAATGGGACAGTTTAAACACCCCAAGTCATATCTACGAGGAGAAGGTGTACTTAAACACTCTCTTAATGGTAAAAATTTAAATTCTTTCTCTCTCAAAGCTGGAAGCAAAATATCAATATAAAATTATGAGTTGACTAGGAATAAATTATTAAAATATGAATAAGTGAATGAAAATGGCAGACCTTTGCTAAGGAAGATTCTGAAAGATCCAGGCAAGAGAGGACACTCCAGATCTTCAGATGAAAAGACTTGCTACTGTTAAGATTCAGTTTTCCCTACATTTGATCCATGAATTCAGCAAAATCCCTTTCAAACATCAGCTGTCCTTTTGGGTTGACATTGACAAGACAATTTGGAAATGTATGTGGGAATTCCAGCACAACCAAGCAGTGTTTAAAAAGAACAAAGTCTCAGGACCCACTTCACTTAATTTCATGACTCACTTTAAAGCAACAACGAACAAGGTGTTTGGGGCTTGGTGGGAAGAAAAAGAGATCAATGAAACAGAATAGGAGCATCCAAAAATAAACTCATATCTAATAGAACAGTGGATTTTCATGAAGGTCCCAGGGCAATCTGGTGGCAAACTGAGAATCTTTTCAACAAACAATGTGGAAGCCATTGAGGAAAATGGTTGAGTCTGTGTGAACCTGGTCCCCTTCCTCTCACCGGTACAGAATTGATACAAACACCATGTTAAAGGTAAGTAAATCAATAAGAAAACGCAAGGAAGCATCCATCCGACCTGGGGGTAGGAAAAGATTTCCTCCATAAGACACAGAAAACGCTCACTGTAAAACGCCAGTTGATAATCTAGACTTCATTAAACTCAACTTCAGTTCACTCAGGCTGGAGGTGTAGCTCAGAAGTAGAGCAGTTGCTGGCACACTGGAGGCCCTGGATTTGACTCTCAGACCTAAGAAGGAAGAAGAAAAGATG